ATCGGTACTGTGTGTGTCAATTTTCGACCACACTGCCAAACAGGTACTCAGCTAAAGAATACCGACAGAATAGATTCAGCCCGAATAACCTGTCAACAAAAAGATAAGATTCCGGCAGTGATTCGTCCACCCGGGGCACTCTGACGATCAAGTCAGTTATCTCTCAAAGATAGCAAAAGTGCTTAACTCACTATTCAGAATACAAAAAGCATACCTTAGACCCACGAGGGTGCCTTTCTTTTATAGCCAATACTGACCTAATCCCAATAGAAGCCTAGCTTCAATGGACTCTGGTATTCTCCACTCAACTCTATCAACGGCCATTTGGTTAGTCAAATTAAGGAGATTCATATCTCTATTTACTATACTAACCCACGTCAATCTAGATCTTCCTTCCCTTAATAATTCCATCTACCGTCATTGTATCACATCTCTTCATTATTGCCTCTGTTGATCTCCGTTGTACATGACCAAATCATATCAATCTATTGTCTCTCAATTTATCTTCTATCGGTACTGTGTGTGTCAATTTTCGACCACACTGCCAAACAGGTACTCAGCTAAAGAATACCGACAGAATAGATTCAGCCCGAATAAACTGTCAACAAAAAGATAAGATTCCGGCAGTGATTCGTCCACCCGGGGCACTCCGACGATCAAGTCAGTTATCTCTCAAAGATAGCAAAATTGCTTAACTCACTATTCAGAATACAAAAAGCATACCTTAGACCCACGAGGGTGCCTTTTTTTTATAGCCAACACTGACCTAATCCCAATAGAAGCCTAGCTTCAATGGACTCTGGTTCAATGCTAATCCTGGACTCTCAGTTAGATTGGGATAAACTCTCTAAGAGTCTTATCTTTATCCAAACTGAAGTCCTCTCTCATTCCAGGACTCTTGTCTCTTATCCGCTTATCCCGGATTCCGGTATCTTCGCAGGTAACCTCGGCCTTGCCGAGATAATCTGGCATCATGTCTAAGACACGTGGCACCTCGGCTGGCACTCCGGTACCACCTCGGCCACGTGTTGTCATTCAAAAATTATGTCCCCACAACTGCCCCCTAGGTTCTATTACCTCGGCATCCTGAGGTGATGGAACCTATATCGTTTCTTCTATTCAGCACGTCGACTAAGCTCACTTTGTCTTTCATTACCGAGGTCATCATTCGTTGGCTTAATACGACCAAGACTTGTTCTGTTTTCACCAATGCTTCAGAACCAATAACCAAGCTTGTTCAAGTTTCTCAACCGAGATCGACCCCTAGCCGAGGTCCTGCTCTATTAAATTAAGAACTCCAAGAGTTTCAACACGCGTATGGGCTATTACGCACGGTTTTTCAACCGTTTTTGCCACGCGTCTTTCCCCTACTGAGCCGTGCTTGACACGCGCCATTAAGTCGCATCGCATTTGCGTGCGCCGTCTGATAAGCACGTCGTCCTAGGCACACTAATTGCCACTTTGCCGCCATTCTGTGTGTTTGATCAAAATCATCACTCTCTCTCCATCTTTTCACTTTTGCATCTTCGTTTTCGTTTAAACTTTCTCTCTCTAACATTCATCTCCCAAATCCTCCATTTTCGTTCTTGAAGCTTTCTGCAACTTCTTCATTCTTCCCCTCTGGCGAGGCTTTTGTTGTACTTCTTTGCTCACTGCCACCGTCTAACACCGGCATTCTTCACACCGGCTTTTTTTTTCCTCGGTAAGCGATTGTTCCTTCTTACTTCAATTTCTTGTCTCACTTTAGGCTGTGATGCTTGTATACTGCCATGGTGTTTTTATTCATGCTCTGAATTTGTTACATTTCCCCCATTCATCATCAGTTTCATGATTCTGGTTTTATAACCTATTGTTGAATATACACAGACTATTCACATACTTGTTTATGTCTCCACTAATCTTGGCCCCGCACTTGTGTACACACTTTGTCACAATGTTCTTGATAGTTCATCACTATTCTTGATTCTGAATCACTATTCTTGTTCTGCTTTCTTGCTGTTTTTTTCAAATTCTTGCCTTTAATCCTCCTGTTTTAGTAACTCTAGGATTGGGATTTGCCTTAGAACTCCAAACTCCAGGAAAAATTGAAACAAATTCCGTTTAGATCCCAAAAAACCCTTGCCCCAACATTCGTTTAGGTTTTGCCGAGGTTCGTAAAACCCCAACAAACCACTTCCTCTTGCAACCCAGTACTTTTCTCTTTATGCCGACGTCACGGGTAAGTAGAGGTGGAAGGTAGATACCCCAATTAAGCTAGAATATTTCAGGCAGGAGTTCGCCATTCTTGCCAATGTCCACCTCAGGCTTGCTGGGGAGGAGGACTCCATTATGCCTAAGGACAACTCCATGCCCTTTCCAGTCGTAGCTTTCGTAGAATGTGAACTTAGGCTTCCTCTCGATATTCTTTTCTGAGAAGTCCTACACTACTACAAACTGAACCCAATGCAGCTTGCCATTAACTCCTACCGAGTTATCAATGGTATAATTGCCTTAGCCAAAA